GGATTATAAAAAAAAAATTAAAGTATCACAAAATAATATGGTTTTTAAGGTCTTCGCAAAAGAAAATAGTTGTAATTAATATTTTTCCTAATTTATGACAAAAACTTTTGATTGTGAATACCCCTTGAAATCAACTGCAGGAAACAAGAAAACGAATAATTTACAGAAAGATTTCGAATTACAATAAGAATTTTTCTACAATTTTTAATAAATAACTTTTAAATAAGTAAGTGGATTTAAATTAATTTTTGTACAAATATTTATTAGAGTTTTCTTAATATATATGAATATTTTTATTTCGCTGGCAATATCTTTTTCTATTTCAAATTTATCAATAAGTGCTACAATAATTTTCCATAAGAATCAATACAATCTTTAAACTTAAATAATTTCCAAACCATTAAGAGAATTGTGCTCAGGTTTTGCACAGATACTTATTGTTAGAAGAAATACTAAAACAATGTACGAAATTTTCATGCTTTTGTCAATGTTTTGACATATGATACATACATCCTTAAGCCGTTTCAAGAATACATTTACATATTTTTATTTCAAATTTTTGCGATATATGAATGCAACGTATTTAAATAGAGATACTAATCTATACTTTATATTTGCTAATTTATTTAAAATAAAAAATGTTTCATATATAATGCGAATATACATATATAGATTAGTCTACCATTTCTGGCATAAAATTATAGTAAACATTAGAAGTAATTAATCGTTCAAACTAACGATACATGACAGAAGCAAGTGTAGTGAGTTTTATATCTCGTCTCTTTTCCATAAAAAGTTATCGCGTTAGTTACAAATTTTTAAACAAACTCGATTCAACGAGAGAATCTCGAAGATATCTTAACCGAGAAAATCAAGGAGCAACGGCAAGGAGCAACATCATCAATTATAATGCTATTTCTTATTTCTCTCCACTTCCATAAATCGGGATTAAACCGGGACACTCGAACGAGATATTTAACGTACAAACGTCTAAATAATATTGTACGCGTATTGAAATTAATATCGTGCATATTTCGCAACAGTTTTGGAAAATAAAAAAGAGCATGGGACGGGAAGACAAAGAGGAAGGCGCGCGGTCGAAAGAAAGAGAAAGAGAGAGAGAGAGAGAGAGAGCGCGCGAGAGGAAAAAGAAGCGAGAATAGAAAAAGACTGGCGAAATAAGCTGTCGGCAGGACGAGTAACGAGGCATATAATAACCCTCGGTGACATTCGAACAAACAGCCATCTGTAGGGTAATACCCCTGTGGTGAGAAACGCCCCGAAAACTACACCCCGCCAAGAAATTACAATGACAATAAGCGAAATCCGATCCGCCCGCGGGCACGCACCGTATTTTTTTCTTTCCCTTTTTCCTTCACACCTCCTCTACGCATGTTACGTTACGTCCTTTCTGCGATTCTATGCGACCTGGCAGGCTCTCGGCCATTGTGCGACGCGACGATCCGAAGAGGCGAAAAGAATTACATCGTGAAACACGAGGGTCGTCGCGTAATACGTTTGTGGGCCGTACGAATGTACGAGGCTTTCCAAAGTACACGTTTCCGTCAACGTTTCCCAAATGACATCGCTAAATCGCTATATCGATGTATAATCAGATTTTCTCTCTACAAAATTGGATATAAATGCGATCATTACACAAAGAGAGAAAGAGCTTTCTTATAAATATCTTTTACATCGATCAATGTAAAGCATTAAGATTCATTTATCCTTATTTGCTGCGACGATAGTTTCACAGCTGATGCTCCCCCAAAAATTGAAGACGGTTAACAATTTAATTATTAAAAAATTGAAGCTTTAATGCAAAATTAAACGATCCGAAGAGGCGAAAAGAATTACATCGTGAAACACGAGGGTCGTCGCGTAATACGTTTGTGGGCCGTACGAATGTACGAGGCTTTCCAAAGTACACGTTTCCGTCAACGTTTCCCAAATGACATCGCTAAATCGCTATATCGATGTATAATCAGATTTTTTTCTCTACAAAATTGGATATTAATGCGATCATTACACAAAGAGAGAAAGAGCTTTCTTATAAATATCTTTTACATCGATCAATGTAAAGCATTAAGATTCATTTATCCTTATTTGCTGCGACGATAGTTTCACAGCTGATGCTCCCCCAAAAATTGAAGACGGTTAACAATTTAATTATTAAAAAATTGAAGCTTTAATGCAAAATTAAGTCACCGAGAGAAAGTGCGTAATAACTTCGATATCCTCTGTCGGCTAAAATGACGAAAATTACTGCTACCATATTGGGATAGCGGTAACGCGGTACGATTTCGTAATTAATTCACAAATCGAAAGTTACATATCTCGACCATAGGTGTAATGACAAACCGAGACTTCTCCACTAGTTTTCTCGGATCAGCGGTCGGATACGATCGGTCTAGCTGAGCGTGATACTTTCGCAAGAGACGCTGGCCGCGATTCGATCTCGGAGATTGACGCGCTGACGAGAGGTGGTGTATCGCTCGCGAAATTGGACGTGGTGCAAGTTTCCTTATAATCTGCCTCTCTCGTGATTCGTAACACATCCTCCTTCTCAGCGGACCGGTAACTCGCTCAAAATTACGCAATCGTGGTCGTGTAGAATTTTATGCGCCGATCTTATCCATCCTATCAAAAATTATACTCATGTGAAATCATTTATTTGAAAAATAAATTAGACGGCATTTTTGTCTTCTCTCCCCATTCATGAACATAAATTTTATGAAAATTAAGAAAACTGCGGTTTCTTTTCTGATATAGTGAATAAAAAATTTATTTTATCATAAAATTTAGTGTCTTAATATCTAGATTTATTTAAATCTCGATTATTAATGTTTTCCAAGAATTTATATACAGAGTATAATTTTATTATATAGAGACTTTCCACGGGAAAGAAGCTGCGAATTAAATTTGACCGTGTGCGAACTGCGGTAGATAATTTATCGTACTGCGATTCACGCGATGCTCTCTTCGACAGAAAATACACTTGTGCAGCTTTTTGCGATCTCTATCGCGGTAGATCGGTATTGCAAGAGGAACGACTCGTTCGCGTAAGAATGTGCGTCACTTTTATACGCGCGGCCTTAAACTTATTTTCACAAACGGCCTTAAAAATCTCGCCTGTATGCCCTTGACACAACGAAGAGATAAATTCTAATTAAGGGTGACAAGTCGCTTACTTTATATTTCCGGTTGCGCAGCGATCGTTTTATATCGGGATTATACGCTGCTGCTCGCTATTTCGAGTTGCTGCGCGTATTTATCGGCGACGTGCGTTGCGTTTTACATTCTTGCGACGTGCAAATTTACTCGAGGAAATAAATTCCGAATCGAACGATCCCGCGATCGGAAAACGGCAAGTCAAAATTAACTTCGTGTTACGCACGATGAGATTATCTCGTCGCAATTCGAAAGTATCTTTACTAAGGAGTACGTTAGATATATACATATGTCAAAAATAACATTGGCCCTATTTCTTAAAAATCGATAGATGACAGAAGTAACTAGAACGGTCATTGATAGTATTTTATGATTAAACGCTATTCTCTGTTTTTTGTTAAGATTTATAACATAAAATAAAAAGATGAATATAGGATATAATAAGTGCTTTTACTCACTTTTTAGTAGTGGTAGGTCGTTCATGAACCCTCCATCGTCCACGTTTGTGTTCTAAAAAATAAAAAATTTAATCTTCTTAATTTTTATATTATATATTTTGTGGTAATCATAAAATAATAATTTTTTCAAAAGAGTTTTCTTGGAACTGAATTTGTATAATATATAATTTGATCGCAATCTTTTTAAATACCCTTTACATCATAATATTATGATATTCCAATATTGAATAATCTATAACGTTGGACCCCAAAATCGCAAGATATTTTCCAAGAAAAGTGTAAATCTTAATATTTAATATTCAAAGAAAGTATTTATAATCTTTGATATATTTAATATATATATTTTAGAAAAATCAAAGAGCAAAGAGCAAGAACTTAATATTGAGCTAAAATTATACTCATGTGAAATCATTTATTTGAAAAATAAATTAGACGGCATTTTTGTCTTCTCTCCCCATTCATGAACATAAATTTTATGAAAATTAAGAAAACTGCGGTTTCTTTTCTGATATAGTGAATAAAAAATTTATTTTATCATAAAATTTAGTGTCTTAATATCTAGATTTATTTAAATCTCGATTATTAATGTTTTCCAAGAATTTATATACAGAGTATAATTTTATTATATAGAGACTTTCCACGGGAAAGAAGCTGCGAATTAAATTTGACCGTGTGCGAACTGCGGTAGATAATTTATCGTACTGCGATTCACGCGATGCTCTCTTCGACAGAAAATACACTTGTGCAGCTTTTTGCGATCTCTATCGCGGTAGATCGGTATTGCAAGAGGAACGACTCGTTCGCGTAAGAATGTGCGTCACTTTTATACGCGCGGCCTTAAACTTATTTTCACAAACGGCCTTAAAAATCTCGCCTGTATGCCCTTGACACAACGAAGAGATAAATTCTAATTAAGGGTGACAAGTCGCTTACTTTATATTTCCGGTTGCGCAGCGATCGTTTTATATCGGGATTATACGCTGCTGCTCGCTATTTCGAGTTGCTGCGCGTATTTATCGGCGACGTGCGTTGCGTTTTACATTCTTGCGACGTGCAAATTTACTCGAGGAAATAAATTCCGAATCGAACGATCCCGCGATCGGAAAACGGCAAGTCAAAATTAACTTCGTGTTACGCACGATGAGATTATCTCGTCGCAATTCGAAAGTATCTTTACTAAGGAGTACGTTAGATATATACATATGTCAAAAATAACATTGGCCCTATTTCTTAAAAATCGATAGATGACAGAAGTAACTAGAACGGTCATTGATAGTATTTTATGATTAAACGCTATTCTCTGTTTTTTGTTAAGATTTATAACATAAAATAAAAAGATGAATATAGGATATAATAAGTGCTTTTACTCACTTTTTAGTAGTGGTAGGTCGTTCATGAACCCTCCATCGTCCACGTTTGTGTTCTAAAAAATAAAAAATTTAATCTTCTTAATTTTTATATTATATATTTTGTGGTAATCATAAAATAATAATTTTTTCAAAAGAGTTTTCTTGGAACTGAATTTGTATAATATATAATTTGATCGCAATCTTTTTAAATACCCTTTACATCATAATATTATGATATTCCAATATTGAATAATCTATAACGTTGGACCAAAATCGCAAGATATTTTCCAAGAAAAGTGTAAATCTTAATATTTAATATTCAAAGAAAGTATTTATAATCTTTGATATATTTAATATATATATTTTAGAAAAATCAAAGAGCAAAGAGCAAGAACTTAGAGAGGTAAACATAGAGAGGTAAACTTAGAGAGGTAAACATAGAGAGGTCCCTTTTATTACAATATCCTTTTCATAAAACACATACTTTTTACATACAACGAATCGACTGCACGAAATATGCTTGTGTAAGACAAAGAAAAATATTTTAACCACAGCAAAGTAAAACATATTTGGCAACATTCCGTTGCGCAAGCGTATGACATTCTATTTAATGAATGCTACAACTTTTGTTGTTAACATAACTACCTCTGTACATTTTGCAAAAACAGATTTCAAACAATTTCAAAGAATCGGCAAAAATTTATTTTGCGTGAGATTAATAACAAAAATTAACCATAGAAGATAATTTTAAACTTTCAAACTATAACTTCTTTTTTCTCCCCCACACTTTCTTCACTTTCTGGATACTATTAAATTTAAATCCTGATAGAATAAATTCCATATAAAATTGAAATAAAAATAAGAATTTTATCTATTATTTTTTATTAATATACTATCTACTTTAAAAACTAATAATACATCTCAAACATCGAAATTGTGAACCGGATCGAAACCGTCCTTGCGTGCATCTCGATGTATGCAATCTTGCAGTATTTCTCCAATAATTATAACGCTTCCAAGAGTCTCGCGGCTATTCTTCGGGGTGAGAACGTCGTCGAAAAAAAACGACATCGAGGGATGTGATAATAGAGAAAATATGTTGCGATTACGTACATCGTCGCTCACCTGGGGGTCGTCAACGAGGCTGCTGTGCAGAACGAGGTCGGTTTGGTCGAGGCCCGGAGGCGGTAAAAGGGCGTCAGGACGACGTACGGCGCCGTACTCGACACCCCTTCCGCCACCGCCACCGCCACCACCTCCGCCACTGCCACCTCCGCCACCGCCACCGCCGCCTCCGCTACTACGTCCACCGTCGTACGGGAACGATGAAGCGTGCATGTTCTGAAATCAGAAGCAACGTTTCAATCAGTCTGATACTTTAGTTTTAGCGCACATTTTCGCTCTTGATAGACATTTTGTAGAAATTGTAGGGTTGCACAAGATATCAAGACTAGTCTTGATATTGTCTTGTCTCGAAATTCGATTATTGGTCTTGTCAAGATTATTGGTTTAAAAAAAAAAATTTAAATGTGTATATTTATGTAAATTTTAGACGAGGAAAAATCACTATATTATATACAAAATTAAAAAAATTTATTTAATGAATAAAACCATTTATTTAGTTAAAGTAGAATTTTTTAACTTTAGCCTTGGTAACTAATTGAATATATATATAGTGATTTTTGGGGGAAGTAAACGAATGACATAAAAAGTAATAATTATCTTAAATTATATTACATATTATAAAGATTATGTTAAATATTATTTTAAACAATTGTTTAGTATTCGATAAAAATTGTTAATAAAATCGAAATTTTTGCTATTAAGATTCATCCAAGACTGGGACAAGATGTTTTCGAAAAATTTCAATACCAATATTTTTATGAATATTGTCTTGTCTTATGTAACTTTAAGAAATTGTGAAAAATGCATGTGTATTTTCAAAATGATATAGATAGGTGTCTATTACATTTAAACTACAATTGAAGATATGAATCTAAATATGAAAAAAACGAATATAATTCATCTAATTTTTTGGACTTCTTTATTTTTGGGGAAGAGAATTTTTTTTATGTCGAATTAAGTTCTAAATGATACAGCAATTTTATATATAGTAACAGTTTGTTTAAAGAGATACAAATCAATTGACTTCGGAAACTTGTCTCAGGATATAGAATATTCAGCCCTCGTTAAAGTTAAAGCTAAAAGCTAAAGCAATTACGAATATATGATATGGAAATAACGTTCGCGAAGATTAAAGCCGAAGTTAAAGTTTTACAGCTGAAGCTACGTGAACGTGGACGGGATCTAATTCGATATCCGTGGCAAACGTTAATTTAGTATCACGGGAAACTACACGGAGCGGCGATAGGTGGTAAATAGGTAAAGGCCGAAGGTCGGTAACGAAGTAAAAGGTTGCCACGTCTACGGGAGAAAAATTGCCTCGATCATCGGTATAACGGATCCGTGACGGTTAGGAATCTTCGCTATATCCCGCGTGATGATTTTGTACTGTATTTAGGATGATAATGAGAGAGGTAAACAGTGAGCCATAACCGCGCGCTGTCATTAGCGAAACATCATCCGCAATTAGTTCTCAGACACGGTGTATAAATTACATGTCCATTGAATATATTTACATTCTTATTCATATTTATTATTGAATGTGATGCGTGTAATCACATTTCTGCGCAATGTCTGCGTAATATCTGGCGAACAATAAGCCGCATTTATTTAATATATTATTATTTAATATATTTTAGATATTTAATTTTTGTTGACGTGACACAGATTGCGAGTATTTATTTTTCGATCATTTTCCGTTTCTTTAAAATAGATAATTATAAGAAATAAGAAATAGCTGCTGATGCAAAGAATAGAAATGTAGATAAATTTCGGAAAACAATGGTTTAACGTGTACATTATATTGCAAAAACATATAATGTGACCAGTCAATGATAATATATTGCATAATATTTTTTATGCAAGAAATTGAGTTTAATAATTCTAATTGTAAATTTTTTATTCCAATATATAATAATTTTATACATATGTATAAATATTACAAAGATTATATTGTAAAAAATATCACAGTTTCAAAAAATGTTAAAGACAAGTCGTTAATACGAATATCAATAAAAAGATTGCTTTATTTTAATTATCTTAGAAAGCTTGTGAAGAAGTCTTATCAATTCAAAGGATATAGTAAAAGTGTGTGCAAAGAGAATAAAATTATATTTTTAGATTACAAAATCGAGTGTGCGTGCAATGTTTTCTTGTTAGAAGAACGAGAAAGATATGAATCTATCCTTTCAGGTCACGAAATTACTATCTTGCGTACACATATTTCAACATTCGCATTACTCTCGCCACGTTGAGAAATGGTGATGACTCGTCAAAAAACGTTATATATATGTACGTCGTACTGTCAGACTTAAGCTCACGACAAAAGCGCGATTCATGTTTAAACAAAACTCTTAAAAAAAAAAAGGTGAAAATGATCGAAAATATCACGGTATCTTTCTTTCTCTCTCTCTTTCCGTCGACCGATAAATCACTATAAATTCAATAAACGGCGGCATATAGATCTAAGAGATTCTATTTCCCTCTTCTCTATTTCATCGCCAATTCTTCATCGGAGCTCATTTGTAGCTTTTCGTCCCGCAAGTAATCTCAATTTACTTCGCGCGACGGCTTGTATCAATCAACGTATAATAGGGTTTTAATAGAAGGCAAAGAGGAGATAGAGTTGAAATCGCGAATGCGCATGTAAGGACGCCGACAAGAATCCTCTCGCTATAAAAGTTCTCTTATGTCATCGATGAAGACGAACGAGCTGCCAGGCTTTAATAAATCCCACCGATCGTAATTATGCTCACGTTATTCTTTACTATAAATATAAGCGCGCGGCTGTTTAAAGTCACTCGTAGATAATTATCTAGATATATACGAGATGTTTCAAAAGTCGCGAGCTCTACTTTGGTTTGACGAGCTTCAAGACGCGATGCTTCCTAAATAATAATTCGATTAAATGGAATCAACAATTATTTTAATTTTTAACATTGAATATTTGCTGTTAAACGACCTGAGCTCTTTTGATATCTTTTTTTTTTTTTTTTTAAATGGTCATTTGCAAATTTCAGAATTTAGAAATTCTTCGTCAAAGTATAAGCACACTCACAATATCTCCGACTTTTGTAATTATTTGTTAGAAATCGCAATAGACGTTCGATTTATCGTTCATTTAATAGTACAATGGTCGCAAAAATCCATTTTGACATATGTCATAATAAACGAGCGAGTATATCCAGGACGATAAGCGGATACGGTAGGACCAAGTGAAAATGTCTTTTAAGAAACTAAATATAAAACGAATATATGCTCCAAATATTAATCACCGGGGAGGGGAAAAATGGCGATTTTATCCAGACTGCCTCGTGTCAATTATATTACGAGCCCTTGTTATTAAAAAAAAAAAAAAATTACTGCGAGCGAGTCTCTTCGATTTCTTTGCTAAATTGTCCTCCCTCTTTTATAATCTTCCGTTCTGTCATCATCATTTAGATCGACGTGCAACATATATGTAGTATATGTAAAAGGGGAAAAAGCTCTCGAACAGAACCGAATGTCCTCGATCGAGGGATGTGATCAGCATCTCTTGCCTCATCCTACGATGTATTTACGTCTATCGCTCGTATTCAATAACGTTACAATTGATTTAAAGGTTCTCGGCGTGCATAAAAATCTTATAATTATGTTTTTCTTAAAAAAAGAAATTTAATAAAACTTCTGGATAACTCGGGTGTTATTAATATCACAATTTTATTATCTCACAGTAATTTCGAACAGCAATTCTACAGAACTCCTTCCTTGCGAGATCAATTCAGTAAATCACATGTTCGTTTGAAGATGGTGATACTCAGGACGTGTTGCATGCGTGTGATTCTCAATTCCGTTCGATTAATTTGGAGAAAATTGCGAGATATCACGCGATCGCCGGCGTTTTAAACACTGGCCGGTCAAATGTCAATTTCAACCGTTCGAGAAGTGGTACCCACGCATTCGGATTTTAAATTTGTCATTTCCGTGAAATCGAGGCTACTCGATCGATTTATCATTCTAATGTAGGTATTGCGCGTACGAATTAGCAAATATGTCTAACGAGCCTGATATGATCGATAGCGTCGCTATTTTGCATTCGCAGTGGAAAATTGTTTGGCAGATGCGGGAGAGCATTAAGGTCATGACTGTCCGAATCCGTGTCCTATGATTAGGAAATCGAAAATTATACGTTTTATGTGTCACGTAATGCCGACTTCATCCGGGAACTTGGACTTTCACGGGAACGAAAAAAGTTACAACGTACGGTTAATTAACGTGCTCGGAACTGCTTTCTGGACTTATTGACGACTCCAGCGATATTTATACGTTGATGTAACCGTGCCATGCCGACTAATGAGATGAAATGTGATCGCCTTTCTCTCGTTAAACGCTCCGGTCAAATAAAATCACGTATATACGATCACGGTAATGTCGATACTGATAAATGATGGCATGATCAGTTCTCGCGAGCCACGCTACGAAACGGACACCGACGTCTCTAATATGTTCGCCTGCATTCTTGTGCGGCGATTTATCTCCTATTATGTAATTCCTTCTCGTTGCAATATCGAGTATGTACAATTATAAGTAAGTATATTATTTACGTCACGAATACACGTACCGAGAAACGCGTCGCGAATGTTTGAAATTGCTGAGATATTCATATATGCCTGCTTTCAGCAGTATTGCAAAAACGTAAAACTATATATAGAAGTATGTTTTACTACACGAAACATTCAAATAACGAATATATTCTCTAACAAGTCATCAGAGCTTTAATACAGTTTGATATAGATTTTAAAAACCTTGTTAAAGAACCAGAAAGAGCCAAAAATCTTATAATTTAAAGATGTGAGAATTTTTAAAATATCTTGCACATCGAATGTAACGCTTACCGATATTTTGAAGATGAAATTCACTCGAATCATCTTTTCTTTATGTCTAGAACAACGCATAAATTCCGATACTAATCCAACCCCGTCTTGTTCGCGCGGACGATTAAGCAACAAGCCCTCAACTCTTTCTAGCAGCGAAGGCGCAACAATGGTGCCGATTTCTCGAATATCCAAAACCCCTTTTGGTCGAAAGGCTCCGTCACAAACGCTACTCTCTCGAGCATAAGGACGCTAAAGGGGTCTAGTCGAGGTACCGTCACAATGAAACGCAAGGGGAGGATATGACAGAGCATCGCCTTCGCGTTTTCAAGGATAAAGCTATTGGAATCGGTCGATCCACTTGGT